GAGAGAGAGAGAGAGAGAGAGAGAGAGAGAGAGAGAGAGAGAGAGAGGAGGGAGGGAGGGAAGGAAGGAGGGAGGGAGAGGGAGAGAGAGAGAGAGAGAGCGCTTCTGCCTAGCCTTGCAGATTGTGCCGCCTGCAGTACCCAGCAGCTGCTCTCTCGCTCTCGCTTTTCTGTTGCCACAGGTTTTTCTTCCCAGGTCTCCTGGTCCTCGACATTTAATATTCCCCTCCTTTCTGATAATAAGCAAGGTTGCAAACAGGAAATGAAAGGCTGAAACGTGGTCTTGCATGCCTGTAATCCTTGCATTCCAAAAGCGGAGGCAGGAGGATCATTCATGGCCAGCCTGGGCTCCATGGGCAGACCCTATCTCATAAAACAAATGAAACAAAAACCAAAAGCGAGATAGTTGAGTCTCTTTGAAAGAATGAGGATACTAGACAGGGAAGAAAGGGATGTTGGCAATATGGTCAAGGCCACTGAAGCCCATATTCACCCTGGCTCAAAGATAAGAGACCGAGAACCAACCTACTCAGCTCGGTAGCCCTGACTCAAATTAACCCAGGGTTGCTGTTTCCATGGTTGCAGCCTAAGCACACTGAGGACTCACAAAGTCTATGTGTTACTAAGAGTGAAGCCCAGTCTCCCTTGGGAGGGAGAGCATCGGTTAGATTGGCACATGTGCATGTCAGCTACATACCAATACGGGTGAGGTTTCTCACTCAGGACTGAAACTCCAGCTTGGTTGCCTAAACCTGCCTGCCTTCCTTCCTTTTCTAGAATTGCTTCACTTCAATAGCCACTGAACTGATGAAAGACACAGGAGAAAGAGGTTTGTCTGGAATGATAGGTCCAGCTCTTGGGACCTTGAGGCCTGAACGAAAAGGCCACCACTTCTTTAGCCACAGACCCAGAACTGTGTGGGTAAGGCGGCATTGCCACGGCTTATTGCACCAACGCACACGCATGCGTGCAAAGCCGTCGGAATATACAGAGATCCTACAGTCACACTGACATGGGCTCTTCACATTGAAGGTGGTTTTCCAGGAGAAGTGTGGCGTTCCAGGGTTCAGGACAGGGAGCCTCTGGCAGAGGTGAAGAGGCCAGCGGGTGGGGAGAGGCGGGCGTCGAGACTGTCTATGGGCCGGCGTAAGAGTTCTTCCACATGCCTGGCAACATCCATGGACTCATCCAGGTCAAATTCTCCATCTTGGTCAGAGCTGGCAAAGAGAGGGATGTTGGGAAAACTGGCCGGTCTCATGGTTCCAAACCCTCATAGAGAATGCTCCATCTGCTCCTCACAAAGACCAGAGTCTCGTAGAGACAGGACCAGTAGCACTCTGGCCGGGACTCCCACCAGGCTGGACAGTAGTCACTGGCTCCTGGGAGACAGCCTAGTGCCACTCATATCTCTTGATATCACTTCATATTATGATCCCAAGGAGTTTATTTTCCCTCACCTGGACTCTTCTGTAAGCCAAGATGATTGACCAGAGGGTTCTACCCTTCACTCTGGGAAGTCCTTCACTTACATATACTACCACACCATCCAGCAAGTCACTGGTAGCTTTTGGTCACTTAACGCTAATCCTCAGACCACCTTAAGGTGAGCTTTAGGAATGAGGAAGTTTGTTCTGGGCCACCTGTAGCTAGAATCAGAATCTAGGTCTTGGCTGGGGGTGGAGGTGCAGGCTTTTAATCCCAACACTCACTTGTAAGGCAGAGACAGGTGGATCTCTGTGAGTTCCAGCCTGGACTACATAGTGAGTTCCAGGCTAGCCAGGGATACACAAACCCTGTCTTAAAGAATCAGAGCCCAGCTCCTGAGTGCCGAGGCCGTCAAGTAACATCTCTTTGTGCAACGTACACTGCCGGGAAGGCCTTTGAAAGGAGGCTCGCTCAGACAGTTAACGGACTGCTTCGCAAGCGTGAGGACCTGAGTTAAGATCTGCAGCGCCCACATAAAAAGCTGGGCGTGGCCGCGCCTGTCTGTAAGCCCAGCGCTGGGAGGTGGGGTGGGCAGAGGCAGGAGGATCTTTGGAACTCATTGGCCAGCCAGCTTAGACAAATGGATGAGCTTCAGGTTCACTAAAAGACAGAATCAGAAAATAAGGTGGAAAGTAACTGAGATGCCGACCGCTGGCCTTCACGTGCATGCACTCACACAAGCACATACCTGTAGAGCCACGTAAACACAGATACATACCATATATATAAATAATAATAGCAACCAAAAAAATCCCAGAAGCTGGTAGCATGGCTCAGCGACACTTGGCAACAACAAATCAATCCTGGCAATTTGAGTTCAGTCCCAGAACCCACATGGTGGAGGGCGAGAACTAAGTCACACAAATTGCCATCCCCCCACAGATATTTTTAAAAATTAAAAATACAAGCAGTTCATAATCGCCTGTCATTCCAGCTGCAGGAATTCTGATGCCCTGTTCCAGCCTCCACAGGCACACGCACACACACACAATTTAAAACTTTAAAAGATTCTCTGTGACTTCCACATGTGCGGTTATCTGACTGCAATGTGGTGCCTCTCCAGTTCCAGCCATCCAGTCTAGGCTTCCTTAGCTTAGAAAGGACCCCCCATTCCCTTCTGCTCCCACCTTAGAACTGCCCCAACAACAGTGACACTGTCTCAAGTCCTTCTGACAACTTAATGCATAAAAATTTTACCGCACCATCTCGTTTGTGTTTCTCATGCCAGTTCCGTGGAGGCAGAAACCCCTGTCACCTCTAGTTTATACATGAGGGAATCACGCATCCAAGAAAAATTTCTCAGGCTCACATAGACTGAACCAGGATGAGGAAGGGATCCAGGTTGTCTAGCTTCAAGAAGCTCTGTGTATTTTTCTGGTCGACTTCACCTCCCTTTCACTTGGGTCGAACTAGACCCTGGGCCTAGGTTGGATGGAGTCAAATCCCAGTAACCTCTGGATTCCTCTGTCCCTCAGTCCTCCAGGGGTCCAGCCTGAGGCCAAACCCCAGTTCCTCTCCATGGACCCCCCCCCATGAAAACAGGACCTACTTTTGTGGGTACATGTTGTAATGAGCCTGGGGGCACACTACTGGAGACGGGGCCTGGTCCATGTAGGTGGCGCTGGCTCCAGCGTCTGCAGATGCATTGATAAACCTATGAAAGGAAGCGAAACACAGCCTTAGTGGCCAGAGAGACCGGTGATGCCAGGAGAGGCGCTTCTGGTCAAAGTGTCCCCATTGGTCTCCGGGGGCTCAGGCTGCCTGAGTCCTGGGTACTCTTTCCTTCTCAGGGGCTAAGCCACATTTCCCAGCGTTGAAGGAAGAGCAAGCAGAGGCTCAAGAGGCAATAGAAGACCCACAACTGGACAACTTACTCAGGGACCACTTGTCTGATCAGTGGCTTCACGTATCCGTCCACTGCTTTTGCTGTGGGGGTGGGGCAGGGGGAACACAGTGAGAAGAACACGCCATTGGCCTCCTGCCCACACCACCCTGGAGCTTTCTCAGAGATGACGTTTCCCAAGGACTTCCGATAAATCCCTGCTGATGGATCCAGCCAGAGGGCCTCTGAGACCCTTGGCTTCTATTCTATGCCCACTCCTGGTTTCTTTCCTGGCTGTTTGCAAGAAGATGCAAACTCCAGCAATGAACCAAACAGATAGAAAAGGAGAGTGAGTCCATTTTGCTCCTCTATTTAACTTGGGGTGGGCTGCGGGGGCATGGGAAATGATGAGAGCTGCTGACTAGAGGGGAGGAAAGTAACTCTTGGTGGGAACGACCCCTGCTTCTCTCTCCATAGTTCTTCCTCTTCTCTGCGTGCGGATGTAGAATTGAGAACTTAGCTTTCGGCTCAGCAGAGAAATAAACTAGGGGGCAAGTTTCACTTTCTCTCTTCAGGTGTGAGCGCTGAAACCCTCCATGCTGAGATCCAAAGCCCACAGAGGAGATGCCCCTGCTCAGCCCTCCTGGCCGCTGGACGCACCAAGTATAGGAGTGTAGTACTTGGCAAAGACCTCATCCTTGGGTCGGTCTGGGAACACATAGATGAGGTAGTTCAGGTCCCCCAGTCGGTCAGCCAGGGACCGTATGGAGAAATCTCTCGTGGTGAACGGCTTCAGATTCCAGAGGTTTCGGTCCGCTGTAAGAGGGACAAGTCATTTCAAGCTGCCCTCACAAAAGGTTCATGGTCGTGGGGCTGTGGGAAGGATTGCTGAAAGAGCAGAGCCTTTCCCAGCATGCACTGCAACCCTAGCCCTCCTGCTCCAGCATGCGGGGGTGGGGTGGGGAAACTCATCTGGAATGTTAAGACTCAGCCAACTGGGCATGGAAGAGGTGTGAATGGCATGAAGTTGCCGGGACTCACCAGGTGTCTAGTGTCTGTGGAGTCAGTGGTTTTAGGTTCTGAGAGACCTTAAAAGTATTGGGAAGAGACACCATCTTCCTTCCCATGCCTCCCATACCTTGAGTTCAGTTCCTGCCTCTCCTGAAAGTGGGTGACTGCTAAGGACGGGGGCTCATGGGTATGGGAGTGAGGCAATATAAGACAGGGCTCGTGGGGTTAGGTGTGGGACAAGGAGACGGGAACTCACGAGAGTCAAACTTCCAGGCAATAGTGATGCCTCCAATTTCTGAGTCGCTAAAGCGCAATAGAAAGGTCCCATCTGGCTTGTTGATGAGCAGGTCGTGGGCCTGTTGCTTATTCACAAAGCCTAAGATGGCCCTGGGGGTGTGGTATGTTTGGTGTCACGGCTGGGTAAGCAGACACCATTCCCAGGGTCCTCTACCCACCTGCCGCCCCCAGGGCCCTGCTCCTCACCCATCATTCCAGTGGGGCTTATGATGTTTCTTCAGCACCTCCATCACCCCATCAAACCACTGCCAGAAGGTGTAGTTCCAACCTGGCAAGTTCTCCTGTGAGCCCCAGAACACTCCGAGTCACAGCGGCCCTTAGCTCCCGCCATGCCTGCTCCCAACTCTCCTCCGAGGGTCGTGTTCTGGCACCCCCACCCACTCAAGTTCTCACGCTTCTATACAAGGGCTAGTCCTGTGAGCAGGGCAGAGGCTATGAGGATTTGTGTGGGCTGGAAAGACCCACCAAGGTCAAGGTCATTCTCGCCTCATTCTTTCAGTGAAGCACAAGAAAGTGACAAGCCCACCAATGGGTCCCTGCTCTGGGGTTCTGTCATTCTACTGTGGCTCACATGACTGACCATGATGCCCATGGCCTCCATAGTCTGAGAGCCAACCTATCCTGATTACAGGGAGTGTGGTTGGGGTAGAGGGTCACCCTCTGAGGGTGGTAACCTGACTTCACGCTAAGAGAAAGTATGACAGGACTCCGATGGTGTCCACCAGATAGTTGGCAGCTGGCCGCTCACCCGGTTGAACTGGGACCAGGACACGGACATGCTGTTGTAGTCCTCGAGGTGGCTGCTGCTGCTATTGAACAGTTTCTGTGCCAGGAACACCAGGTTCTCCTTGGTCAGGCCCCGGTTGCTCTGCACTTCGGCCTTGAATTTCATGTTGAGCGCTTCACACAGCTGCGGCCACAGCACCTTGTCAGGCACGGCAAATGGCACCCTGCCCTGAGAGGGAGAGAAGGAAGGAGACGAAAGGGAGCTGGAAATGTCCACACATAAACGCACACTCACTCACGCATACTCACGCACGCATGAGATTTACAGAGACTGAGAGACAGACAGGGCTGAGAATCATCCAGAAAGAACATACAAACACAGAGGGGAATTGTCGGGGACCAGCCCTGACATAAATAATTTTTTATACCAGAGTAGAAGTGTGGGAATGAAAATACAGCTTCCACGACTGTATCGGGAGGGAGGTTTTAGGGATGGGGAATGGAAGACAAAAGGAGGAGGGCGGTAGTGGAGTCCAGCAGAAACAAAGGCCACAGACCAGGGGCTGAGGACAGTGGTCAGGAACCCCAGCCACAGGGAAAAGGAAAGCAAAGGCAGACGCAGAAACCAGCCCCATTCCTTGGAGACGCTAGTCAATTCTGAGTCCTGAAACCTAGCCAGGGTCTTAGGCCAGACCAGCAGACAGGCATCCACCTCACGCTGCCCACCCCACACTGTCCGGCTCAGCTCTGGGGCCTACAGAGGTGGACTAACCCCATGACAATCCTAGGGCCTGAGGGCCAAGGTGGAGGGCCCAAGAGAACTCACCGGTTCAGCAAAGGCATTGTCCCACAGCACGGTGGCAGTAGCATTGTGGTCCTGGCTGCCATGAACGATGACAACCACAGGAAGGGACAGGGTCTATGGAACACAGTCTGAATAAGCAAGACTCCTAACCCTTATCTCACATGCACTATTCAGCCACAAGCCCTTCCCAACAGTCCTGAGCTAGGCTCGCTGGCTCAGCTGACTCACGTTTGAGGCAGAAGGACTAAGAAGTCAAGGCTAGTCTAGGCTACATAACAAGACCGCTCTAAAACAAAAACAGAGACCCCTGAGGATATATTTCTTCTTAGTCTATTGCCCAAGTAATATGGTGATGAACGCAGCAAACAGGTACCTGCAAAATCAAAGTGGGTTCTCAGGGTATTGCAGGGTAACTGGGCTGAGGCAAGAAAGAGCCCTGTGATGCTTTGTATTGTATTTTATTAGATACGCTTTCTGTTGTTGTGTTGTTTTGTAAACAGGGTCTCGTGTATCCTGGGCTGGCCTTGCACTCCCTGTGTAACTGAGGATGACCTTGAACTTCTGATCTTCCTGAGTATACCTTTGGGTTACAGGCATGCACCACTATTACTGGCTTTATATGGTGCTGGGGATCAAACCCAGGGCTTTCTTCATGCTAGGCAGACATTTTACCAATTGAGATAGATTCCTAGCCTGCTTCCTAAATTGTATTTTATTTATTATTATAAGTGTGTGTGTGTGTGTGTGTGTATGTGTGTGTAAGAGAGAGAGAAAGAGAGAGAGAGAGAGAGAGAGAGAGAGAGAGAGAGAGAGAGCACTATAGCATGCATAGGGATATCAAAGGACAGTTATTTCAGGAGTCTATTTTCCCCATTTACTGTGGGTTCCAGGGTTCAAATTCAGGATGTTAGGCTTGTAGAGCAATAGCTTGCACCAGCTAGGCCATCTTGCAAGCTCCACATTTTTCTTTGTTTTTAAAAGGTGGTTGTGAGCCGTCCTGTGTGGGTACTGAGAACAGAACCTGGGTCCTCTGCACGGACAGCAAATGCTCTTAAGTGCTGCTGAAGTATCCAGCTCCTTTTTAAAAAGTTATTTTATGTGTAAGGGTGTTTGTCTACACACGTGTATGTGCCCCATGTTCATGCATTGCCCATAGAGGTCAGAAGAGGGCACTGGATCTCCCTGGAACTGGAGTCACAGATGGTTGTGAGCTGCCATGTAGGTGCTGGAAATTGAACTCAGGTCCTCTGGATGGGCAACCTGTGCTCTTAACCACAGAGCCATCTCTCCAGGCCTCCAGTCCCTGCTATTTTGCTTTTTGAGACATGATTTCAGACTGGCCCTGAACTTGTGTTCCTCCTGTCTAGCTCCCAGCTCCTGGGGTTACAGGTATACACCATCACACCCAGCTCAGCCTGCAGCTTTCCCACAGGAGCCAGGTCACTTTGGGCAGGTCCCTTCACTAAGCCAGAGGGCCTTCACGGATGGAGTAGCGGGAGCCTCACCTTCACCTGGAACACCAGCTCATTGCTGCCAACACTGAACTGGGACTCAAACAGGACCGTGAACTTCTCCTCCGTCACAGACTCTGCGCCACGCCTGTCGGCTCGCTTGATTCTTTTCAGGGACTGCAGAGCGGGCAAACCAGTATAAGACGGGGAGAAATGGCCACCAGGCCCCTGTCCTGGGCAGACCTCCCCTCTACGGCAGACCCGGCCTCACCATGTTCCTGAAGTGGGCGCTGAGGGTGCCCGTGGCCTGGTGGTACTCCATGACGCAGCAGTTGTTCAGGATCTCGCCGCTGCACTCACTGCAAAGAGAGGAGCCCAGTTCCACAGTGTGATGCCAGGGTCTGCACCAGGGCTTGTGCACACTAGGCAGGCAGGGGTCAACGACTGACATCTCTGGGCCCGGGAGACATGTTTTTAATGGGCCTATCAGTGATGAGACAAGTCTCCTATATCTCCCCGCTCACGCCAGTGCATCCATACACTACGTGGATAGCTTTGCAGGACCCGTCTCTCAGGTCTCACTAGCCTCTCTACACTCAACATGTGGGTTCTGCCTGGAAAACAAACAAACAACCCCTCTCTTTCCAACCCCAGCACTAGCAAATCCCTCTCCAACGGCTTCTCTGCTAGGACTCTTCAGGGACTTTGGTTTATTTTTTTAAGACAGAGTCTGACTGCTTAGCCCTGGTTGGTCTGAAACTATGTAGACCAGGCTAGTCTTAAACTTACAGAGATCCATTTGCCTCTGCCTCCTGGGACTGGAATCAAAGTATGTACCACCAGGTCTGGCTGACTTTGTTTGTTTGGTTTGGTTTTTTGACAGAGTCTCTAGCTGTGCAAGCAGGCATTCAACTGACTACGGAGCTTAGGCTGACTTTGAACTCTTGATTCTCCTGCCTCTGCCTCCCAAGGACCGGAAATATAAGGATGTATTAACCCACCCACTCCAGGTTCAAGCTAGCAACCACCAGCAACATGAACCCCTGTATGTGTATGTGCCTGTATGTCATACAGCCGTGCCAACAATCATAAATCATTGAACCCCGTCTGCTCTGCAGGTCGGCGTTCCCGTTAAGAGAGAGACAAGTTCTCTTTGGATCACAGTAGTGTGCCCACTGCTCAGCACAAATGGTTGGACCACAAAGCAGTTCAGTGTTGGCTGCCCTAAGTATTAGACACAGGCAAGGCTGGGACAGCACTCAGAGGGGCACAAGAAGGCCTGGAAGGCGCCCGTACAGCCCCACCTGAGCAAGAGAAACAGCACCCAAACCCAGTACAGAGGGACAGGCACACTCACTTGCGGGTGCTCTCGTTCTTGAGCAGGGACTTGGCCTGCTGCTCGCTGATGATGGTCGCCTTCACCTGCGGGGGGTTCATGTGCACATTCAGCTTCCCGCCCACCAGCAGGCGCACGGTGGCTGCAAACTTGGTCTGGGTCTTCAGGACCTGAGGAGGTTGCTTCTCAATGATGAAAGTGCTGCAGGGGACACAGGGACCAGACAGTTGACTGGACGCTGGCTCAGGGGAGAGAGCTGGGAGGCCAGCTAGGAGGGGAGGACCTTCCTGTGGGGGCTGCTAGGAATAGGAAGACAGGCAGAGGAGGAGGGGCCTGGCCTCTGTTTCCTGGAGGACATGGGGGTTTGGAGACAGGTGTGAGGGAGGCTGGACCCCACGGTGCTTCCTGCAGTGTCCCCAACACGCACTGGGCCAGGACAGTCACAGCAGCAGAGCAACTAGGGCCACAGTGGGTGGGGGAAGGTGGAGCAGGACTGGGGCAGAGCTCTGGGTTTGGACTGCTCCTGGGTCTCAACATGCCCACCCCCAGGACCTGCCGTGTCCCTCTGAGCAGGACCAGGAGGCAGCAGTCACCTGGTGACCAGGGCTGAGATGATGTCTGTGATGGTGGCATTGACCTCGGCTAGCATCTCCTCCACGGGGCCTGGGATGGGCAGCTGCTGGCAGAGGTGCTCAGCCCTGCGGATCTGCTGCCGGTTCTGCCAGATGATCTCGGCTAGCTTCTCACACCTGCAAGGAGCCAGGACCCTCGTAGGGATGGTGACCTCTGCTCCAGCACAGGCCCGGGGAGCAGACCACATGACACTGTTCCCCCAACAAGACCCCCCTCAACCTCCCAAGGTGCTGGCATTGGTCACCACTACACCACTACAGGCACAGAGCCCCACTTTCCAAAAGCAGAGGACACACAGGGGCCCCAACTTGGAACCAGCCAGCTCAGCCCTGTCCATTCCAAGGCACCACTATCCCTTAGGGGAGGTGGCACAGGTCTGAGGAGCCAAGACCATCAGGAGCCCAGACAGCAGGAACCTGCTGCTCAGGCCAACACAGGGACAGAAAGCAGCTGGCACCATTGCCCAAGCCCCTGCCCACCCTGGCCACCTCCCACCCTTACCAGGACTGCAGCACGTCCAGGCTGCCCTCAGGGGGACCCCCGTTCCCGGCCAGCTGCTGCCGCCGCTTCCACTGGATCAGCTCGTCGTCCAGAATGATGGTCTGTTGCTTCCGCAGCAGCTGCAGGGTTTTCTGGTGCTTTTCAGCCAGCTCCTGCGTGAGGACACAGCGGCCTTCTGGCTCCGGGGAAGCAGCCCATACAGCCTGGCCTAGGACCCAGGGCTTGGCCCTGCCCTCTCCACCTGCTCCACCTCATGTGTACCCCAGGAAAGAGGGGATCTGTTCTCATCTTGGCTCTGCGCCCTACCTGGCGCCCTGAATCTCAGGTGACAGAGCTCCCTCCCAGGGGCAGAAGGATGCAGGATGCACTAACCACACGGTACTGCTGCAGTGTCTGTGCCTCCCGCTGCAGCCAGGCCTCCAGGGACACTTGCTTCTGCTGGAGGGCTGTCTCCCGGCTCATGCGCTCCTGGGGGTTCAGCTGGGCCAGCTGGGCAAACTGAGCTGGAGGAGGGGACAGGACACCCACCACCATCATCTCTTGTGTCCATCGGGAACCCTAGAGGATCCGCATTCACATGCTCTGGAGGGCTTCTCAGAGTCAGGCATCCCATCGACGACAAGCCAGGGTTCCTACCAGGCATGAGTGCCCAGTGATGTTCCCTCAGAATTGCTCACAAGCCTCCTGAGTGAATCTCCCCTGGGCAACAGAAGTGGGTGCCCAGAATGAAGCAGAAGAGGGTTGGTCCCGTGTGGTGATCCTTGCCTGCCCCACATGGCTGTCAGCAGGCCCTCCCCACAGGGCTTGGAGATGGGTACAAGTGGCCCTGCTATTTAAAAGCTGGGTGAAGATGGGAAAATACCTTGCTTTCCCATGCCTCAGTTTCCCCATTTGTAAAAAGGGGAAAATACTGACACCAGCTCAGTGGGCTATTATGGAGATTTCAAAAATGATGAGGCTTTTTTTTTTCCTGAGAACTGCCTGTTTTATGTAAGATCTTTGCAGTTTGGTCCTAATTGGTGGACAGACAGCAGTCCGAAATGAGGGGTCACAGAGACAAGACCTCCTCAGCCCCATCCCTGACATGGGAGCCCCATCCAGAGGCCTTTCAGCTCAGCAGTTTTCTCAGGAGCAATGAATCTGGCTGGGACTGCATGGTGCCCAGGATGCCTGACTAGGGTGGGTGCCATGAGCTCAGCTGAGCACTCAACTAAGAAGGAAAGAGAGACGATGGACAGACAGACATGAGTTTTTCCAAGATCCCCTGAAATACCATCAGCAAGATTGTCATAAGGAACAAGGTGAGAGGTGACAGTGACTGAGAGTGACATTGGGAGCCCGTGGATGGCAGGAACAGGTGGTGAGTGAGGCCTTCACCTCCTTATCCATGTTTGTGTATCTCTGTGTGTGTACGCGCTTGTGTGGTATATGTGCGTGTACTTGTATGAGTTGTGTCGGGGGTGGGTGTTGACACAGACCATAAAGCTGAGGATGGCCTCAAACTCACTGCGTAGCTGGGGATAATCACTGCACATTTATTCTCCTGACTCTACCTTTGAAAGTGCGGGGACCACAGCCGTAGGCCACCACATCCAGTTGTAAGTGGAACATGGAATTGAGCAACTTCCTGCATGTTAGGGAAGTGCCTAACTGTATCCTCAACCTTCAGCCCAGCACCTTTCTAGCATTTGAGAAGAAATTCCAAGGCATGGGTGGGTCAGAGTCATGCAGGGAACAAACTCAGCAGCTCAGCTCAGCTCAGCATCAAACGCATTCAGGGTTGAAGCTGCCTGTACGTTCCCACTGCTGGTCACCCTCCCCTATCCCACACTTAAAAACCCTGGATGCTGGCATTTATCACTGTCTTTAGTGGCCCTTGAGCCTTCCTGAATTCTTACTCGGGCCTAGTCAAGAAATTGTGCACACCGGCATGTCTTATTCAAGTTCCTGGCTGGCCTCTGAGAACCATGTCACACTGACCTGGTCCTTGCCCCAGGGACACACAAGCTGGGGCAGACAAGAGCAGCATTAGACAATCAAGACAAGCCCACACCTAGAATTTAGGAATATGGTTCCCATCTTCCTGTAATGTGGTGGGCGGGAGGCGTACTGCCCAGATTCAGAACGTCCTGCTGGACAGAGGAGGGCCAATACCCTGGCCCAGATTCCCCTTCAAGGTTCCATTTAGGTCTCTCCTGGTCAATTGCACAGGTTTCTGGGATGGAGGCCAAAAGATCCACAACAACTATTGGCTCCACTGGAGGAACTGGGTCTTCCCGTCTGCAAACAGATCAGTACTTCGTGTTTTGTGTAGTGCTGGAGATCAAATCCAGGGCTCTGTGCATGCCAGCCCCATGTTCTTTTACTGAACGACATCGCCAACCTTCTGTGTTTACAGTATTGGGCGGGATAGACAAAGGCAAACCGACACCACACACACATGGATGCGAACCTCACCCAAAATCCAAAGCTAGACCTGCGTACAGGCAATGGGATCAGCTCAGTTAGAAACGAATTGTCAGTAGCTGGCGGTATGTGCCTGTAATCCCAGGACTTGGGAGGTAGAGGCAGGAGAACCAGGAGTTCAAGGTCGTTGTCAGTTACGTAGTGAGGCTGTAGCCTGCCTGAGTTTAAAAATAGGAAAAATACAAAGCAAAACCCAACAGCATGCTGTCTACGTTATAAAACCCTTTTATGTTACAACTGGTCTTGATATAGTATAAATTTTTTAAAAGCATGGCTAAGGGGCCAGTGAAATAGCTCCGTGAGTCAAGCGTTCACTTGCAAACGTAAGGACTTGCGTTTGCATCCCCAGCATCCACATAATAAAAGCCCAGAATGAAACCCCAGTTTCATCGTCCGGGAGGGAGGTGCGGGAGGCAGAGAAGGAGGATCTCCAAGGCTCAGAGCTCCAAAATTACAGTTGAGAAAAACCGAGAACAACGCTAGATCTCAACCTCTGGCCTCCACATGCAGAAACGCGCTTGGGCATCAATGCTCACGTGCGTACATGCACACAAGAAGAAAAGATGGAAGGAAGTATAAAAAGAAAATTTAAGAATGAACGTGAATGGTGCCGCATGTTTTCAATCCCAGCACTCAGGAGGCAGAGTCAGGTGGATCTCTGAGTTCAAGTCAGCCTGGTCTGCAGAGTGAGTTCCAGGACAGCCAAGACTATATAATGAGATCCTGGTTTGTTTTATTTTGTTCTTTCTTTCTTCTTTTTCTTTCTTTCTTTCTTTCTTTCTTTCTTTCTTTCTTTCTCTCTCTCTGTCTCTCTCTCTCTCTCTTTCTTTCTTTCTCTCTCTCTTTTTTAAAAAAGGCATAATAATAGATGCTCAGCAATTAGGAGCTCGTATTGTTCTTTCAGGGGACCCCAGTTTGATTCCCAGAACCCATGTCCTATCTCACAACTGCCTATACTTTTAGCTCATAGAGTCACATATATACATGAATAAACATCAAATAAATACAAAAAGAAAGAAAGAAATGGGCACGACGAAGCACATTTGTAATTCAGGCACTTGGAAGGCTAAGAGAGGAGGATCATGAGTTCAAAGTCAACCTGGGCTATAGAGCATAACCCCGTCTCAAAAGCCTAAAAAAAGAAAAAAGAAAAACATTTCAAAAATGCCAGAATGATTGGCAATTGACTAGAAAACCACACTAATCATAAATGTGTCCACCTACACCTGCTAGCAATTTCAAAATTTATAAAGGAAATGCTACAAAAAAAGCAGTAAAGAAATCGTCAATTGCTTAATCATGGCGGGGTATTTTGATGCCTCTCTTTTAGGAGCTGATCAGCTCAAAAAAATCTTAAAATAAACGGAATGACAATAACAAAAGAAGGTCAGCCTGGTGAGGTGAACCAATGAGTAAAGGCGCTTTCTGACAAGCACTAGGACCAGAGTTCAATCCCAAGGATCCACATTAGAGAAGAGGAGAGCCAGCTCCCACAAACAGTTCTCCGACCTGCAATGATATGCCTGTGTTCATATTCATGCATGAACACACACAATAAATAAGTAAATGTAGGTTTTTTAAAAAAAATTAAAGACCAAAACCAATGGTTCTCAGAGTCATCTAAGGAATCCCTGGCAAGTATCTGAGACCCTCAGAAAAGACCCACAAAGGAAAATAACATTTTTCATAAAGTCATAAGACCTTAATTGCCCTGTCATAGCTTTTGTTTGAAATTTTTTTAACTTGTCAAATTGCCTAGTAAGTACTGAAAATAAAACAATATAGCAAAAAAGAATTTGTTCACAAAATTTTTGAGTTTTCTTACTCTACATTATCAATGTTACGTGCCCTAAGGGTAAAAATCATTGCAAATAAATAAATCTTGAATTTTAACTGGTAACTTTGTGATTGGGAGTAATAATGACTTTTTAATTTTCTTGTTTTAAAACAATTTTGATTTTCTCTGAGTATATACATGTGTATATACTCTTTGAGTATACACATGTGTATAGTGTATTTTGTTCATATTTACCCTGCCATGTTTTTTAAGTGGGGATGTGGTTTCACTATGTAGCCCAGGCTGGCTTTAAACTCCCCATCGTCTTGCCTCAAGCCCTTCTCTGACCCCAGTGCTGAGATAATAGTTATGCACCACTAAGCCTGAGTCTTCTATCCTTCTGTTTTTGAAACGGGATGTGATTTAGCCCAGGCTGGCCCTGAATTTCCTATGAAGATGACCTTGAACTTCTGGTCCTTCTGTCTCTACCATCCGATTACTGGAATTACAGGCATGGGCCACCATGTTTAATTTATACAAATTGAACCCAGGACCTCATCACACTGGGCAAGCCCTCTGCCAACTGAGCTACATCCCCAGCCCTGAGTCTCTACTCTTTCTAGCTAACAAGTGTGCAGTGGAATTTTCCAGAGGTTACAGGCCATCACCACAGATTGAAAGCAACACACAGCTATCTTTTATCAAGGCTAACACGAAAGACATTTGCAAATATAGTCATGAGCCGCGTAAGGATGTGGATGCATTCTGAGAAATGCATCATTGGGGGGTTGTCATTGGGTGGCTATCAGAACACTTCACAAGCGAGACGTCATGGCTCACTGCATACTTAGACCATGTGGTGTGTAACATCATAACCGTGTCACCCTGTGGGCCAGCACATTGTTATGCTGTCCATGACCATATGGAGGCCACTTCTGTTCTACTCACTAAATTTGGCTTTGGAAAATATATTATAGGGTATTTTTTTTCTTTGTTTTTCCTTTTATGTTAACATTCTCGAATTTTCTGTGGCTGTTTGAGGAGACAATCAAAGAAGACATGTTCTTTTCAAGTACACAAGATCTAGCCACCAAGACAGCGCATGTGCTGGGCTCCAAAGTCCCAATAAATCTGTGAGCTCTGAGAACATACGGAACTATGTCCTGTAGTCACAGGAGAGTCCAATGAAAAGATAGCATCAAAGTCAGTAAAAGCGCAATATCTAAACATAGTAGACAGAGGGAAATCAAACAATGCATTTCTAAACAAAACACAGGTAATGGGACTAATCCCAAGCGAGAGGAGAGGAATTTCAAAGTGAACAAGAAGGAAGACACAGCAGCTTCAGAAGTACAGGTTCTATAAAAACACTTTGTAGGGGAAGATTTATATCTTTGAAAAAATATGTATAGAGAAAGCATAAAATTTACTCTTTCCACGCTTTTAATCTCAGCATTCAGCAGGCAGCATCAGGTGATTCTCCTTGATTTCTAGTTCAGCCTGATCTACAGAGTGAGTTCTAGGTCAGCCAGAGCTACAGAGCAAGACCTTGTCTCAACAACAACAACAACAAAAAAATCACTCTTTCCTATGGTTTCTGGGAAAGATATTTTACAGAGCTAAGTAGATAGAAACCCATGTAGTTGGGTTTTGATTGTACATTTATATATCTCAATACATGTGAAAGGACTAAAACCGATACCCAAGTCTCTAAGAAACAAGGATAAGGGCACAGGCAAAGGCAGTATGCCCCTGCCTGTCCTCGCTGGAACCGTGGAGCCAGCCTATCTCTAACATTAATCTCCAGACAACTCAAATTGTACCTGGAGCTAATTCCTTCCGAGATAATTTTTCTTTGCCCACACCCTTATTGAGGCAGCCATTGACAGACTACAGAGCTGGGAGCTAGCAGAAGTTTTGCAGTCGCCTTGCCTCCAGGACCAGGTTCCCTTAGAGTTTCAACTAGGGGCAAAGCTGGCTTTCTAGCTCCCCTCAGCCCGCTCAACCAGTGGACGCCATCCTTCTGGTTGGAGCATACTTGGTCCATGCTCTTTTAATCGCTCCCACTTCACTGACTGCCTAAGATTAGGGAGAGTCTCTTGGTTAGGAAGATACAGGGGTCTTATGGCCCTGATTCTGCAGCTGACAGGCAACCTAGGCCAAGTTATTTGTCCTCTTTAAACTTTCCTTTTAAACAGAGACACCAAGCTATGCCCTCTGCAGGCTCCTTGTGAGGTTGCTTTGTACTATGCTTGCAAAGAGCTTAGCCTGGAACCTGGACGACAGCAAAGGTTCAAAGTCCCCCCTGAAGCTTGACGATTCTTACAAAGCTTTGGGCAAAGTGCCCAAGGGATGGCGAGCTTCCTCTCCTGTTGAAAATCACAGAATGCTTCTCCCTTCCACCCTCAAGATGCTCGTGGCATCCTGGGCTGTGATGCGGGCCTCACCTTGGATCCGCAGGCTCTCCTGATACTGGATGATGAAGTACTCCTGGGTCTGCTGCAGCTTCTTCAGCTCGTTCTCCGTGTCCTGTGTGATGAGGCGCAGCTCCTCAAACGTCTGGTTGATCTGAAGGTGCTTCTGGGACATGGCGTCAACCAGGACACCAGCCGGGGAGCTGCACTGGGGACAGAAGAGATTGAGTGGCAATGACAGGCGCAATGTGCCAGGCAGAAAAGAGGGGAGAAAACCTGGTGCTCTAGGGAGCACCAACACGAGACACCCCAAACTTCAAATCCAGGCTTAGAAGGAGGGTCAGAGGATTGTCAATGCCAGAATTGGAGTAGAAAAGGAAGAGAGAGGGGGCTGGAGAGATGGCTCAGTGGTTAAGAGCACTGATTGTTCTTCCAGAGGTCCTGAGTTCAATTCCCAGCAACCACATGGTGGCTCCCAACCACATGGAATAAAATCTGGTGCCACCTTCTGACCTGCAGGGGCACATGCAGACAGAACATTGTATACATAATAAATAAATAAATATAAAAAAAAGAAAGAAAGAAAGAAAGAAAGAAAGAAAGAAAGAAAGGGAAGAGAGAAAGGAAATCAATAGCCTGGCAAATAATGGAGACTTTGGGGCAGAAATTTCTGTTTCAGATCTGGTTTTACATAGAAGAATGTTGAACGAGCCCATCACATTTCCTTTAGAGAAACTAGAACCGAACACTGGCCAGGTGTCACGCGGATGATCTTCCTCCTAAGGATGAGGCCTGCGTCTCCTCATTCCATAGTTATCTACTGACCCAATGTCACCGATTGTGCTAAGTGCTGGGGACCCAGTAGGAGACAGGGCCCATGGGCCCACATGTGTCCTCACTCACACCTGGAGGGAGGGGGCATCCCAGAGATGCCCAAAATAAAGTGACAGGAGAGACATCAAGAATGCCTCTTTGAGTCCTGCCATTCCTAGAACATCTGGTTGAGAGGGGACCATGTGGTTGGGGACTTTCCAAGTTAGTGTTCTTAAAATAAAATTCAAACTCCTTTATTCGGCCTGGCAGGTGGCCTCTGACTGCATCCTCCCAGCTTCCCCGGGGCCAAGGCCCAGCAGGTCTGTGTGCTTTCTACATCTGTCCCTACAACACCATGTGCCTGCCTCAGGCACTAGTGGGTCAATCAACCTGGGAGCATTCTGGCAGCACTCCAACCCCATACTGGGAATGTGAGTTTCTCAACCCAGCTAGATTCTTTTGTGAGGGCAGTTTCAACAAGGCAGGGATGCAGAATTGGGCTGGAAGATGCAGCGCCTGGCTCCCGATTCTTGCGCACTGGTTCTCTGCTCTCCAGCTGTGTTAACCACCTGCAGGTCTCCAAGTATAAGGCATCACCACACCTTCCCGCCCCAACATATGCTGCTGTTACTTTGGGAGGTGGAAGTCCTCCCTCCTTCTTTCCCCGCTGTCCCCTTAGGACACACCCCTGTCAGCTGCCCGGTGTCTTCTGGTGTCTTCTCCTTCACACTCAGCTTACTCAGTCCAGTCTTTGCTGGGACTCCTTCTAGGTGGAAACTGCTCTGTTTTAATCTTTTATTGTATTTTTAAATCCCTCCCTCCTTTCTTCCTTTCCTTCTTTGGTTTTTTGAAGCAGGGTTTCTCTGTGTAGCTTTGGCTGTCCTGGAACTCACTCTGTAGACCAGGCTGGCCTCGAACTCACAGAGATCCACCTGCCTCTGCCTCCCGAGTGCTGGGATTAAAGGCATGTGCCACCACCGCCTAGCTATTTATATTTTTTTAAGTTATTTATTTATTATGTGTACAGCATTCCTTCCACGCCAGGTCTTATTATAGATGGGCTGTGAGCCACCATGTGGTTGCTAGGAATTGAACTCAGGACCTCTGGAAGAGCAGTCAATGCTCTTAACCACTGAGCCATCTGTCCAGCCCGCTATTTATATTTTTTTAAGACAAGGTTTCTCTGTGTAGCCCTGGCTGTCTTGGAACTCTGTAGACCAGGCTGGCCTTGAATTCACAGATCCACCTGCCTCTGCCTCCCAAGTGCTAGGATTAAAGGTATGTGATACAACCCCCTCGTAAAAATTTTATTTTTGTTGTTGTTGTTTGTTTTTCGAGACAGGGTTTCGCTGTTTAACATTCCTAGCTGTCCTAGTACTTGCTCTGTAGACCAGGCTGGCCTTGAACTTACAGAGATCTGCCTGCCTTTGCCTCCTGACTGCTGGTATTAAAGGTGTGTGCCACCACTGCCTGTCCCAAAAATTTTATTTAAAAGATGTATTTGCATGTGTGTGTGTGTGTGTGTGTGTGTTTAAAATTTCTGCTTCTTGTCCGTCCATTCTTAGCCTGCATATAATTTTATTTAACCCTCATGATGATCTTATACTACAAGTGCTATTACTATCCCTAGTCTACAACGGTGGGAGATGGGAATCAGCTTGAGAGCACTTGCTTAGCATGTTCAGTGCTCTAGGTTTCATCAATAGAAGCCAGGAAAGAAAGAAGAGAGAAAAGAAAGGCAAAAGATGAAAGGAAGAGAGACTGGAGAGATGGCTCAGCAGTGTATACTCAGCATGTACACTGTTCTTGCAGAGGACCTGAATTTGGTTCCCAGCACCCATATCAAACATTCACAACTGCCTATAGTTCCAGGAGATCTGATGCCTCTAGCTTTCATTAGGCACACTTGCACACACACAGTTAAAAAAAAATAAGAGAAAGGCAAGAAAATGAAAGAAAAGAAGAAATAGAGGCTTGGTGAGCCAGGGGACTGGCCCCAGCCCACAATATACTGCCTCTCACACTTGTCCCTGCGTTTTCTTTCTTCTGTGCTCGCCTCATAGCCGTGTTACATAAACACGGTAGGATCTAGAGAGGATTCACGTGGATGGCTCTCCAGCTTCTCTCCATGCCTACAGACACTCACGTTGTTGGCTTCTCGCACCAGCCTCTGTTCATTGTACAGAATGTGCCGGATACAGCGAACCAGCTCCATGGGGCAGCGGTCGTAGGTGTTCTGAAAGAAGACAACAGGAACCACCAGTGGCCACCTGGTTCTGACCACGCTGCCTTCCTTACCATGCCCATCCCTTCCCCTCTCTCAGCCTCAGCTCTTCCCGGGAAGCCCCAAGATTATCAGACACCTCTAACTCTCCTTTGCCCTTCTTCCCTCCCTCCCCAACTTCTTACTAGGTTTACAGTAACTTAGAAACTAACATTCTAAACACAAAGCACGCCCAGCCTCCACCAGCTTTGACTCTTCGAAGCATGGAAATCCTATGACACAAACTCAAACTGTTCTCATGTTATGGATGAGAAAAACGATGTTCAGATAAGCTAGGCCTATGTCCTGAGGCAAGTGTGTGTGTGTGTGTGTGTGTGTGTGTGTGTGTGAGAGAGAGAGAGAGAGAGAGAGAGAGAGAGACTTGGGGTGTCTGATGCCAATATCAAGGTACTTCCCACTAGGCACCTGGTCCTGGGTTCCTATTTTGTCTCCCTTCAGGTTTCTGATGTCTCTTCCTTTTTCTAGGATGAGCTTTTATTTCCCCCCACACCCTGCATCCCGCTGTTTGGATGTAAGAAGGGCTCTCTAAGAAATACAAGTGAGTTCCGATAAACGCTTGACCATGAACACCACCCACAACCCTTTCCTGCTTCCATAAACTCGCTGCCCCTCCATAGAAAGGGGAGGCTACTTTCTCTTTCTAAGCCTTTAATTCAAAGCCTTTTATCCCACTCTTGCTCCGGGGCAATTCTACCTCTCTTTAGCAGCTCTCCTGCCTCTAAATGAGCCCCAAGGGGAATGGCTGCTTGCTTTACCCCTCACTCCTAGACTCTACCAGTCTTCCTTTCTCTGAAGGCTCCACCTGCCTCAATTTCTTTCCTTCTCTACTGCTTGATCTGTCTGTAGTGCTGCTACACCCATCTCCCCCTCCCCCTCCCCCCCTCCGTGCTGGAATCACCCCCCTTCCCCTCCCCACACACTCCCACCCCTTGCTGTGTAATATGTTAAAGGAGTCTGACTTAGAAAGAGGGGGTGGGGGAAATTGAAGAAAAGTTGCCAGTAAGCTTTTGGTCACATGGTGACTCAGTGGCCAAGCCAGTAAAACTCCCAGGGGTTCTGATGCTGGAAGAGAAAGCTTAAGAGAGGGCCTTCCTGCAGAAAGCAGGCATTTACACCCACCTGGAGCTGTGTGGCATAGTGCCCCAGCTTGATCTTCAGCAAAAACCCATCTTCCCCCACCTGGTGTTCTGCCTTCTTCTGCAGCTCCTGCACCAGGCCTTCCAGGAGCTGGGAGGCCTGGCCTCGGTCCTGGGGATTGTCCAAGTCAATGGCATCCCTTGGGACATAACAAGGAGAGAAAAACTGTACCAAGAGTGATTTAGGGCTCTCCAGACCCACAAGACTCGCTTCTGGCGGCTGCGCATCAAAGTCGAGAAAAGTCTCCCTTCGGTAGCTCCCGTTTCCCTCTTCCCCTTTCCTGGGGACACCACCCCTTCCGCACAAGGACAGATAGAATCGGAGTCGCACCAAACCACAAAGAGAAGACCCTTGGCCTAGATAGCAGGGACTCGCACTTAAGGTGAAGGTTTAGGGCACAGGACACTTACCATGGCTGACTCTCGATCCACTGGGCCAGGTAGTGCCGGACCTCAATGGGGAAGTGCTGTCCGTACAACACTTGCATCTGGCGCAATGCATCTCCCTGAAGCTGCTGGGCCTGAATCCAGCCCGCCATGGTCGTTCACCTAGGGGAGAAAGTCAGTCATTTGTTACGCAGAACTTTCTGGCCTGTGCCAGAAAGTGCCACCAAAGGACCTAAGGACTGCGGTGAGGCCAGGCTCCTCCCCTCACCCCAAGCACACTTTTCCTGTGCGGGAAAGAGATGGCCACCCTTCCCTTCCAACAAGGAACCCTCGAGGCTGGGGGTGGAGACTTAGACAGGCAGATGCCCTCCTCTCTTCAGGTTCCCTCGCCCCATGCCCCATCGAGTCATCCCCAGACTAAAGGAAAGGGGGGGGGGTCTATAAACCGAAAGAGAAACTTAAGAGACAGAGGCACACAGTCCCCCGACTAGAAACGACTGCAAAAATTCTTCCCACCCAGCCTCGGACCCACACTCTCAATGTTTGGGAAGGGAACTGTTCCAGACCAAAAGTTAGGGCAATGCGGTGACCGCCACTTGAGGTTCAAGTCTCCTCAGGCACGTGTCTGACACTGTCAGGGAGAGGTCAACTGCCTCTGGAGCAGCCCTGAATTGCAGTCCAGTGTCTGCCCGCTCCAGGTGGAGCCTGACAGTGTCACTGTCCATTGTGCGCGTCCACTACTGTCTAACCCCTGCACAGGTTCCTTGTCCCTGATCCCTCTGAAGCTCCCATCCGAAGCCCAGACGGATGCTTGTCCCGTGTCAGGCCGGGGAGACTCTAGTGTGCTGGGTCCCAGGGACGCAGCTGCAGCCTAGATTCCTTATCCACGCGCCAAGGGCGACGCCGCGCCAATCCACCCACCTGGTGCTGCGGAACGCCTGCGGCTGTCGCTCCCGGCTCGGGCTCCTGCTGGTTCCTGACGGCTCTTGACGGCGGCGGCGGCGGCGGCGGCTGTTACTACAGGAAGGAGCAGAGAGCAGCGATTTCCTCCTCAAAGGTCAGCTGCCTCCGATAGACCAAACACAGAGCGCGAGCTCGCGCCAGCACCCCTCCCAGCGGCGGTCGCTCCCTCCTTGCCTCCGCCCTCGTTCGCCGGCTGTCCGGCGAGTGCGCTGCCCCTACGGGAGAACCGACGGACCACCCGGCTGGGCGGCGCCGTGCAGAAGACCGCCCCGACGGTGGAGGTCCCCCAGGGAGTCCCGGTCTGAGCTCCCCCGCGGTTCCGAGGGTGGGGGTGAGAGGGGAACGTCCTAGGACAGCTGAGTTGGAGCGACTGAGGGTGCTGGGAAGTCCCGAACTCTGGAAATCCCAAACCAGGGCCTCCGTTTTATCATCTGTTAACTAGAAAAAAAAAAAAAAAAAGAATACGTGGAGGAAGAAAAAAAAGAGCTACCTGTGGATGCCACCTCCGTCGTCACCCTTTCTGTTTGTAGATTCACAAAGTATGGTATGTGTGTGTGCGCGCGCGCGCGGGCGTGCATTCGTGTGTGCGCGCGCGCGCGCATACACATGCTAGCAGATAGGGTGTGAATGACTTCTATGACCCTGCAGAGCCAAAACTTTAAAAAGACTGGAGTTCCAGAAGAGCAAGCCCACCACTAAGGTCTCCCCACCTCTCTCCTGGCATGACCCCCACCATGTGACCTTTCCCCTTAAAGCAGGACCAAGGAAGACCTTGGCAATCATAGGCTTCAACCTTCCACCCCCTTCCCGACCTTTGCAGGTAAGAAATGTCAATCCAGAGAAGAGAAGGGGCCTGCCCAGGACTGCACTGTGGTCACATCAGCAGACTGTGACCCATAAACTATTCATTCCCTCTGTTTACCTAGAAGGCGCTCATCTGAGGCTGGATATCTATCTTCAAAAAAGGCCCAGGAAGGGGTGTTTTTGCGTTTTTCAGCCTCACATCTGCCTGCAGACTTTGTCATGGCCGCAGACCTGCTCCTTGGAGCTTTGCCTGGATCAGAGTCCCCATCCCTAAGAGTTCCCCCTCAAGGCCCAAGGGTTGGACAAGGCCAAGCTGGAAGTCTGCCATCCCCTTTGCCCAGCTTCCCTCTCCTCTGGGCCTCCTCTCTGCCTGGCAGCTGGCATGGGCAGTAGCAAAGGAGGGGCTAGACTGGCTGCCTATTCACAGCCCATCAAGGGGGGGGGATCTTTCTCATTGGCTTCCTCCTCACTAATTTCTTCTTGTGTCCTTTCTCTCCATTCCTAGTTCCTGATCCCTCTTTCTGGCCCATAAGACCTCCCTCCCCAGTTTTATTCTTTTTACTTTGCGGGAGGGAGGGGAACCCTGAAGTTTTTCTGCAGAAGTTGAAATGTCTGGGTTCTCCCCGCCCTCTGTGTGTGGTCACAGTGACTTTACTTGCCAGGATCACGAGGAAAGGAATTGAAAACTGGGAGGGGGGTGTAAAGGAGATGGGGGAGACCTTTCTTTTCAGATGCTCCACGGGGACCAGATGGGGCAAGGGGCTCTGGAGAAGGAAGTGTGATCCTTTCTCCCTCTGTACAGTGGGTTGGATGGGAGCCCATCAGACCCGCAGCTCCAGATGAACATCAAGGAGCAGTTCTGGCAGTGACCATAAAGGTGATTTTACCAACACAAATGAAAGGCCAGATAGGGAAGTGACTTGATCAGAGTCTTGAAGCCTGCCAGTGACAGATCCAACCCATTGCCCCATGATATGTGGACCCCACTTGGCACCTGTGCCCACTGATCTCACTGCAGCAGAGCATGGAAGTAAGTGACAGCAGGTTCATCAGATCCCAAGTTAGGTTTCCCAAGTTCTCTGAGCTAACTCTACAGGTAGAGAAATCATGCCGACTGTGCCCTCCTTCTGGACACCTGGGAGCTGGTAGTATGGAGCTGCCCACCTGCTTCCAGGCATCGGCTCCTCCAGATCCCTCTCCAAGGACCCCCAGAAGTCTGCTGCTCCCACCAAACACCTGGCTGGGTTGGGCTTAGCTTGCTGGGAAGGTGGCTAGGCCTGGGTTCTAAAAAGTTAGAATGGAGGTGCCAGCTAACAGAACTGGAATGGAGTAGAAAGTCTTCAGAGCCCACTCATGTCTTCAAACCTAACCTGGACCCATAGGTCACTCCCTGACTAGGTCATTCTGAGCCTCTTAATTCTCCTATCTTTAAACATCATCATCATCATCATCATCTTCTTCTTCTTCTTTTTCTTCTCCTCTTCCTCTTCCTCCTCCTCCTCCTTCTCCTTCTTCTTCATCATCTTTTGTTTTTTGTTTTTTGAGACAGGGTTTCTTTGTGTATTCCTGGCTGTCCTGGAACTCTCTCTGTAGACCAGGCTTGCCTCAAACTCACAGAGATTCACCTGCCTCTGTCTCCCAAGTGCTGGGCCTAAGGCATGCACTATCACTGCCTGGCTCTTTGCTTCTTTCTTATCACTATTGTGTGTGCACATGCTGTGGCACTTGTGTGGAGGTTAGGGGACAGCAACCATAGGATAATGGCTCTCTGTCAACCTTATATGAGTTGCCAAGCTTGCTTGGCAAGAGACTTTACCCACTGAGACATTTTGCCAGTTCAGCTTGCGCTGTTCACTGCTTGATTCTGCCTTTTTGTATGCGTTGTTATGCCAGTAAGATACAATGGGCAGTGAGGTGCGGGGCAGCTCTACAACTTTCCCAAGACAGGAGCCAAGGAGGGAAGACTGTTGAGTTGGGTTGGGGGCAGAGGTGGCTGTGGTTATAATTCCAGATAACACAACTACCCGGAAGTGTCAAATTTGGTTTTTGTTTTCTTTTTCTTTCTTTTTTTTTTTCTGCCTCAGTTCCTTGGTTTAGTCTCTGCTATTTCCCACCACAAAGCACCTTGGTGGTTTTAGGGGACCAAGCTCTAGGGGAGAAAACTGAGACCTGAGGGAAAGGGGTTAGAAAGATCAGAGACTGCCTGATATCTGGATGGAACTGGAAGTAGAGGCTGGCCTCTTGCCTCTGGCTGTGTTTCATCCCCAATTCTGGCTTGCAGTATTCAGTGGAGTAAGGGGGATTAACAAATCAACACACACGCACACGCACACACACGCTCGATATGGTGGTGTGCGTTTGTAATGCCAGCACCAGGGATGTGGTGAAGGTGAGTCCCTGGAGCTCACTGTCTAGCCAGCCTAGCATGGTCAACTATCCCAAATCCCAGTGAGAGATCCTGTCTCAACAAGCAAGGTGGACAGCTCCTAAGGGTGACACTTGAGGCTGACCTCTGGCCTTCATGTGTGTGTATGTGTATGTGCATGTGCACTCATACACACATATGTACCTGTGCACACATATGTAGCCATACACACGTGTGCGCCCATACACACGTACACATCACACACACATGTGCGCCATACACATGTGTACACCATACACGCATGTGCATCCATACACACATGTGTACCCATACACATATGTGTAGCCATACACATGCGCACACACACACCCAAATCCCACAGAAACAAATCCCCCCTCCATGCCATCTTGACCTGAATCATGGTACGTTTGTGCTAACATGTTAGGCAGCTCAGCCGATCCTGCCAACAACCTTGGAAGGAAGGCAGGGCTGGACTCACTCCAGTGATTCATCCACGAAGGAGACCTATCTGAAGTCTTATGTCTGGTATTGTGTGTAGTTGCCACCACCAACAGCCTGTGGGTAGGGTCTCAGTGGCCATTCGTAGGTGTGCCACCTCCAAGCCACTCTACACATGTAGAGTGAAGAGGTCTCTTCTGGCTGGCCTGGCCCTGGTGGTTCTATGATATTAACTGTAGCCCCTGCATTGCTCTCAACAGAGATCTGTTGTGCAGAATGAGCCCGTGTGACCATGTGTTGTAAGAAGGTGGGTCTGATTTAACAGAGAAGGGAAAGTGTCTTTTTCGTTGTCTTTTCGTTGTTGTTGTTCCAGACTTTCAGGCCTGCAATGTGCTTGTTAGTGAGACTAGATGGAGGTAGCGGTCTCCCTTGGCCTCACTGTGCCCGGGGTAAGCAGGTAGAACAGAATCATCATTGTTTTTCTGTTCAGTCTCCTCTTCAAGGAGAATTTCTGTTACTTGGGAGCCAGAGGGATGTTCCCAAGAAAATTAGGGTGTCCCAGGAAGTGCTTGTGTCCTGTAGCTGGAAGGGGTGACCAGACACCCCTGAGGCTCTTAAACATCCTCCTTCGCACCATCTGAGCTTTGCTTGGACTGTCTACAACCATTTCAGCCCCCAGCCTTGGCCATGGACCAGAGCTCAGCACCTACCCATCTCTGTAGAAATGCTATTCTGTTAATGGCCATGATGTCAGAGCAGGAGTTGGGGAGTGTGTGTGTGTGTGTGTGTGTGTGTGTGTGTGTGTGTGTGTTCTCTGTGAATGCTGAGAAGGGGAAGTGGCCTTAGTATTGGGGTGAAACCCCTTTCTATCTTTTCCCCCTGGTCTCTAGCACTCTTCAGAGAAGTCAATTTACGGAGAACTCACCAAGAGAACACAGGGCTGCCCTGCCTGAGGCATGGTGACTGTCCTTTGTTTCTGGGAACAGAGAGAAGGAGGGAGGGTGTGGGACTAGTCCGGGTGGTGCGGTGGAGGGTAGGAATCTTGCTTCCTTTGCCCAGCTGCCATGCCCACCTACTCAGAGGAGATGGCGATACACTAGATACAGAGAAGAGGGTGTAGATACCGTACTGGGTGCCCATCTCCTCTCTGGCCAGGTGGGCAGGAAGAAACCTGTGCTTTTCACAGCCGGCTCACAGCAGGCATAGGCCAGGGACGTGGTGGGAGAGAATGGAAGGGGCAGGAGTGGGCTTGGCCATGGTTCTGAGCAGCCCAGACCGGCCTGGCTTTGCGTCCTCAGTCTGATGACTATCGGCCCCTCTTCCCGCTGAGCTAGTTTGCCCTCCTTCCAGCCCAACAAGAACTCTTTTGTGCCTTGACCAGCCTGTAGCCGACCTCAAGTCTTCTGGGGGTATGCAGGAGAGGGCTCCTTCCCTGCCACCCCTCAGTGTTCTGTTACTTTCCTTTGTTATGACTCTGGGTGGGGGGGGGGATGTT